AGACTTAAACTCAAAGCCATCTGTCAACAATTTCTCAATAAAAATAAAGGTATGTTCATTAAAATTTGTAGCTCTTTCTCTTTGTACAGTTGAAATTTTGGTATAATTCCTGACCAACACAGACAATTTCTTTTATCAAGCATGAATTTATTCACACGTGAACTGACTGATAAGTAATGTCTGCAATTCTATGAAATAAGTTTTACATGAGTTACAACAATTATTTACATTCTCTATACATGGACTATTGTCTACCTCTTATCATCACAACATTTTGGCTGTTTCACTCTCCAGCCTTCAAGTGTTTGTTGATCTGAGCAACCTTCAGAAAATTTCAGACTACATCCTTTATTTAATCTATGGGGATAGGTTGTTCTCGTTTCACTGTTTTGTTTTTATTTTGTAGTGCTGAGCTGCACTTGATAAGAACAAGATGAAAAATGTCTAAATATGGACAGCAGAATGAGATTAAATGAAAGATTCAGTTCTAAACAGTAAGACTTTGAGATCTGATATTTACAAGGTGGATTTCAGCGTGTTGAAATATTAAAGGGTTAAAGTAAAATCAAAAACTGTTTCTTCTTTTTCATGTTTTTTTTTTTTTTTTTTAAGTTAAACACTCATAATGATGAAAAAAAATTGGGGGAGACCTTTTTTTTTTTTTTTTTTTTTTTTTTTGTGTGGTTTTTTTTTCCAGATATATACCATGAAATTTTAATGAACCAGTTATTTTAGAGCATTTATTGTAGTTGATAACTTTTAAAAAAAAAAATAATAATAATCTGTAATACATTAGTATTACAGATAAAAGGTTTGGCCAGAAATTACAAGGTCATTTTGTTGGTTTCACTTCTTCCCCCCTCCCTCCACTGCTCTGGTTTGCTTTTCTTTTTAATGCTAAAGGTCAGTAATTTGTTAGTTTGTACTGCTTTTGTTTGCATAATGGCAAAAAGGAGGCCATTTCACAAATTTGGCAAGCTATGTGTTAAATGATTCTTTATTTTTTTGCCTGACTCTTATTACTCCCCCCCCATTCCCCTAAATAGACCAGTAATTTTGCCAATAAAGAATGCAATATCTCTTCTCATATTCTACTTATCTGTATGAATGTTCATAGCACTTTCTTATTTAGAATCAATGTGAAGTGTGCATCTACACCCTGGCCTTCTTTGTTAATCTCTATTCAGTTATAATTTCTGACTAAGAAATGTACTATTATTATTATTATTATTTAGGTAATTATTATTAATTTGGTAAAACAAAGGCCAAAAAGCACAAAATTAGAAATTTAAACAACAATGAATAGAAAACCAAGTGAAAATAAAAATAAAATACATATTAAGATATAGAAAGGGTGAAGAAAATGAGGGATGAAAGATATAGGTTGGCTATCAAGACATTGACAGAATGGGGTGGGGGGGGAGAGTTATTCTCCACCCTCCAACCTCTCTCTCACAGGTGGGATGTAGCAAGACTTGTTGTTCTATCACTACTTTCATGGAAAGTGCTCAGACAAACTATGTTCCCTGGTCCTGCCAGTTCAAACCTTCACAACAAGGACACGCCATACCAATTACATAGTAACAAACCACTTATATTCCCTCCATATTCAATTAATAAGTAGTCAGTTCCACTTGAACAGCTACTTCCTATGAACCACTGCTCTGTTGAACTGACTCCCAAGAGGATATTTCTACAATCTTAACTTGTTCAAGGCTAGGGTTAACCATGTTCCCTCTCCTATCCATGCAAAATTGCCTCCTAACATAACCCTCTACTTTGAATGGCCTCTGGGCCTTGTACAGGGTGAACCTTACCATTAAAAAAAAAAAAAAAAAAAGTGTACATTTTTTTCCTTTTTTTTTTTTCTTGTCTTTGAAACTAATCCATGTTTGTATATGATTTACATAAAAACATTAACAGGGGAATGGAGATTGGAAGGGATAAGGGAGAAAATGAGAAGATACAGACAAAGAGTGAAAAAAGAGCAGAGGCTTGAGATAAACATTAACTGCAGCTTTTCCTCATTAGTGGGCTATGGTTTCCCTATTATCTAATGTTCACATATTGTTTTTCAAGAGAAACTCACTTATTTCTCTTGACTATACACTGGCAGAATTTCCCAGAACAAAATTGGCATACTTAGGCAAATCTTAGAATTTTATTTGATGCCTACTGAATTCTTTATTGCTTGTGCAAGCCACCAATTTTAATGCATCATTTATAAACCTGTTATAGTGGAACACACCTATTCTATTGTTAATAGACTCTCCCACCTATAATAAGTAGGAGTAGTAGCAATCGTAAGTCGCTCAGAGAGTTGGTCAGTCAATCAATGTCGGATGACCGTTAGTCGGATATTAAAGTATCAGCCACCGCAACTAGATTGTTGTGTCATTAACTATTATATCAAGTTCCTAACATTTTGTATGTCGAACCTATTTTAGGACCGACTTAGTGAAATACAAGCCTCCACTGTGAAACTACTCTATAACAAAACCTTAATATAATTTCTCAAGTTAGGAAAATAGAAAATGAACTTAGATAAATGGACATAGATAACCAGCTGCTTGTATCCAAGTATGCTGGTCTGTTAAGGGTCTTGCTAATTCCTGTTGCAGACTTATTCTCTGACTCATTTGTGTTTGGCTCTGTGGGTGTTGAACGATCAATGGTTTATACTCCAACTATGCTGAGCAGATCTTAGTTGTAGTTTTTGGGAGAGAGCATATAATCTAACATGATCAACAGTTTGAACAAGGCCAGAACACTCGGGCTCTCAGTTACAATGACGTGTGACTCTCTGCAAGTTCTGTCTACACTATTTCACTTACAAAGTCAACCTGTGGCATGGTTTTCTGGCACTTCCCAATGCAGTTCACGTGCTAGGATTGTCTCCCCCAGGTCAATATTATTAAAAAGTCACCTCCTTGACAAATTGAATATGGTACGATTGAAACCCGTTTCTTATGGTTAGAACACTAACATTATAACCACTTGGCACAGACATTAGTTGCTATTTGCCTTTCTTTTTTTTACTTTTTTTTTTTTCTTTTTTCTTTTTTGCTTGATGTAGAAAAGTCATTTTTAGATAAGATAGTTGCTAACAGCGGAAAATTGATTTATTTAAAACAAAGAAAGTTGTAGCTAAATCCAGAATAGCTTTCAACCTCTTAATCAAAACAAAATCTACACGAGAGTTAGGAGGTGTGGGGGGGGTCGCTTGTGTTTGGTATGATTGCAACATCCTTTATTCAAAGTTGCTGAGACATGAAGAAGCTATTACGATGCAGTGAGAAAAAGGCTTGTTTAAATTGGTGCATTGAAGCAGAAATGTTTTCTAGGTAAGGAAATTAGGTGATTATTTTTTTTTTTTCATAAGACCTGTTTTCTTGTTGCAAATATAATGCAGCAACTGATTGATCAGATGAAATGGAGAATTCTTCCTTTCCTACTGGATTCTCCAGAGACCTGTCAGCTTCAGACAATTCCTTGTTTCATTCAATGCAACACTTATGCTCTAGTCAGTAGTTCTCCCAAATCCAAAGATATTCAAGAAATCACCAAATAACAAATGGAATTTTCTTTTATGACAGAAAAGACAATTTTAACTGAAATGCAGTATCACAAACACAGGTCTGGTAACCCATTAGGGGTGCAGGGGCACCACATGTGCTATAGTGTCAGTTGTATTTCCTGGGCAAGATAGCTTGTCAGAGCCCAACTATCTCTAGGCTGGTTTGAATTCAGTTTTTTCTTCTCTAGACTAGTTGCCAATCAAGGCTATAGGTCCCAGTTTGTTCTGCTATTTTACTTATAGGTGGGGGTAGAAGAGACGGCTTTATACCCTTTCCCAAGGGTATTAGCACAAGTGAATGTAATAAACTTGACTGGAATTCAAGCTCTTTGAATCTTCAATCCAAGCTACTGTCCATTACTCCATTGTTTTTCGGAAATGTAGTGTAACGTCATTAAAAAAGACAGAAAATACATTGATAACTGAATAATGCTGAGTACTATGAATTAAAAAAGACAGAAAATACATTGATAACTGAATAATGCTGAGTACTATGAATTAAAAAAGACAGAAAATACATTGATAACTGAATAATGCTGAGTACTATGAATTAAAAAAGACAGAAAATACATTGATAACTGAATAATGCTGAGTACTATGAATTAAAAAAGACAGAAAATACATTGATAACTGAATAATGCTGAGTACTATGAATCGATATGCATTAAAGATTTTTCTCCCAGAATTTTGACAGACTAGCATCATTTGAATACATAGTAAAATATTTCTCATTTTATTCTTAGGTGTCCCAAACAAGGTAGTTAATAACAGACAGGGATTTTTCTCAATATTCAATAAAGTCGGTGTCAAAGTTTTTTAAAGGGTCAAAAGTGTGTAATTCATAAAGTGGTGGTCTTAATTTAGTTAGTGGTGACTGGAAATATTTAAAAAAAAAAAAAAAATATATATTTCCTCCATTTGGTATGTATCTAAAATATATCAAATTCAGGGATCAGTCACCTTCAATAGCAGGATAAACTTTTTGTACAGCAAATGAAGTCATATACAGAATAATAAAGGGTATTGTTTACTAACCTGATTTAGTAAAACTTTAAATTTCTGCAGAGGAAAAGAAAAAGCTTTTTCATGTCCAAATAATGGAAAGAAATCATCTTGTGTTTTAAAATTGTCAAATGAAAAAAAAAAAATATTTCTCTTATGTCAGTTTTCTTTCTTTTCCATATTTCAGTAAAAGTCTAGCACCATGGAAAACGAAAGTTTCAGTACATTACTGGCCCAGATCTACCAGGATCTGGTGGAGAATTTTGATTTGAACAACCGCCTCGAACGTTTCAAGATATTTGCTGCCAACCATCCTTTTCTGACTTTGTTTGGAATCTTCACTGTTGTCCTCTGTAGCATTCCAGTTGCTTGTTTTGTGGGATTCACACTCTTCAGCATCTTCCTAACATTTGGAGGATTTATGTTCTTGGAAGGTAAACCATTTGCAAATAGTTCGAATCTTTTTTTTGTTTGTTTTCTGTGTAATTTATCTTTAGAATGCCTGTCTGGAAAGTATTTAACCATTTTGTATTTCAAGAACCAGTTGCATAGTCTTTGTAACCATTCAGAGGGGACCTTACTGCACATGAAATGGGTATTCTTGTATACTGTATGACTGAGAAATTACAGCAGTGAAGTCTTAAGTACATGTTGTTTTTTAATTGCTTCCCCTCAAGCTTGGCGATAATGACATTAAGATGCAAGGGGTTACTGAAAGTGTAAAAAAAAAAAAAAAAAAAAAAGATTCTTGGAGAAAGATGACGATGGACATTTTCATTTAAATTTTTTAAAGACCATATGTGGCAGGGAAGCAAGAAACCAGAATAGTTCCAAAGGTGAGAAGTATTAGAGAAAGACCAACAAAAAAAGCTAATTAGGATAGAAATTACATCTAGCTATTTCTAGAATAAAATGCCAAGGTCTATTTGCCAGTCTGGTAATACACTTAAATTCATACGGCTGAGATACCAAGGAGGAAAATTCAGCAGAACAATTGCCATGGAAATATTTATAGAAAAGACACAGGGAAGTCATGTAATGGTGGTTGAGAAAGTAAGTCAAGATACCAAGTTGGGATTGATTACAGTGCAAACCCTTATTTGGATTTTATCGAGAATATCAAGATATATATATATAACATGAGACCAGACATGGCAGCAATATTCAATGCATAAGTGAATGGTAGATTTATAAATGTGCAAGATGGAATTCTAATAGTTTCTTTCTTGCACTTCTTGTCCGTGGAACTCTCTTCTGGTCTCTTGCTTACCTGCAATCTACAATCTTCAAAAATTTAAATCCAACACTAATCGCCATCTTCTGTCTTCCTGAACCCTGTTCTTTTATTGTCCTTTCTTCTCACTAAAGTCTTCTTATTCTCTTTCACTCCCCTTGTGTCTCAGTTGCATTATCACCTTGTTTGAGGTGAAATGATTAAAAACGCACAAAAAAAAACCCTAATGTAACCCTGGCAAACGCATACTATCCATCTAAAGAAAGGATTGTACAGTTGTTTACAATGATTCTATGACCTTGACTTACAGTTGGCCATTTTTTTTTTTTTTTTTCTCATAATTTTCATTTTGCCTTTCTTTATTTTTCTGTTGTATTCATGGTTTTTGTTTCTCAAAGTGTTTGACTTATTTCATTGCTTATTTTCAAAGTCTTTTGTACATTTCAGTTAACATATTTTCTTCCAAGTAAATATATATATTTCTGGGGTTGATCATTAGGGCAGGTTGATTTTCTACTTTTTTTAGAAAATCAACATTGCACTCGGTGTGAAAGCTGGAGTTTGATGTGATAAGTATTGCCATCAAAAATTGGATAAATAGCTTTTGCCAATTTTTGAGCATTTAATTTTAAAGCTCGTTTGAACAAATGTATAGAAATACCTAATTTCTGCAGGTTTTTGCTTACAAACTGACTTCAAAATTTTACCATATCAAGAATAAATCCAAATAGTTCTAATCTTTTGTATTAGATACATTGAATGAAAAATATATTCAAACCAGAATTCTAATTATGAATCACCACAAGCGAAATAGGCAAATGTTTTGTGTGTTTTTTTTTTAGTTTTTTACTGTATTTAATAAGTAATAACTGTAAAAAAAAAAAGTCTACTCAATGAATAAGATTTGTTAGATCATAACTGATAAAAACAAAAAATAGATAAGTGTATATAACTTCATAATGCTGCTGAGCACAAATTATAAGACAAAATGTTGAAAATCACACTAAAACGACTGCACTATATAACATATTACATTATAATATAACTAAATTGTTCAGTATAATTTCCTTTTGAAGTAAATGAAGGTCTTATTTGATGGCACAATGATTTAGTAATAATAAGGCACAGTGGAGTAGTGGATAGCGGCTTGGATTGAGGAATCGGAGAGCTGAGTTTGAATTTCATTCGAAGCCATTACATTCACTTACGTGCTAATAACCTTGGGAAAGGTATGAATCCTCTTCTCCCTCTCCCAGCGATTGGTAAATAGTAGGACAGACCGGGTTCTATATCCTTGGATGGCATCTGGTCTACTGCAGAAAGAAATGGCAACCTACTGAGGGGGTGGAAAAAAATCTGCCTCATCAATCATGTATCAAAAGATACATGATCGCCTAAGCATGTATCACACATGGCACATAACTGACTGAATAATGTGCATCTTGTCCATATACAATTTGTAAAGCTTCATTAAATTTTATAAGACTCCTATAAGGCTTTCACTGATCACCAGAATGAAATTGCAACGCTATGATTTTGAACCTAAACTTAATCTTCAAACTGGTTTCTTCAAAAAAAACGATAAGGATTTGGAGAAAAAAAATATTTTGTGTCATTATTTATCATGTCAAACCCCAACTGTCATATTGAGTGCAATACTACAGTTCCAAAATTGACCTGCCCTATTGACCATGGGTAAGTGAAACCACTGATAAGAGGAGTCAATGTTCCTACAATCATTTTAATACGTTTTACTATATAGTCTAAAAGAAATATACTTTTCTTTGACCTATCTGAATTTTGTCTGTATCCACTAATGTTCTCTTTGGGATCATTATTAGTAAAATTTATGACTTGTTTATTGCTGGGGTTGACTACAGGTAAGTGAAATAGTAGAAAGTGAAAGATTTAATAACCTGGGATCATAGTATTTGTAATTTTGCTTAATGAAATTCGAGAAATATGAGGTCTGATCAAAAAGTATTGGGATTGTTGTGCAGGTAACAGAGCTGAAGTACACATAGTGGTATGCTGAGATTTGATGATTTCCGGGGGCCAACTCCTTGATTGCTTGCCCCCAATTCTCAAGGACGGTGCTTAGTACTGAAAAATGTGAGAAAGAAAGACATTTCAAATATGTAAAAACAGATAAAACCTGAAATAAAGACTTTATTCAAATTAAATAGAAACTAAATTTTTATTTCACTTTGATTGGGTGTCCTCCAATATGGATACCAGGGTTATTGCATTCTCTGTTCTCACTTCTAACACAGAGTGAAAATCCTTGGCAGAGATAGATGTTGAATTCTGTCGCACATGCACAGATATAATGTTCTCTCATGCTTCCATTGTATATAACAGTACTTGGAAGGAGCATGTTTAGAGTGTGGTTGTCTCACCACACCACAGAGGTTACATCAGTGACCATGGCATGTGCAGCAGTTTTTGGCTAAGCACAAAATATCTCCAGGTCTGCCAACCACTATATTCTCCAGATCTTCAAAAATCAAATTCCACTTGAAAGGGACAAGATTTCGAGACATTGAGGCAATCCAAGAGAATGCGACAAGGCATCTGCTTGCTATCCCAAGAAAGAAGTTCCAGGAATGCTTCTATCAATAAAAATGACTGGATAAAATGTCTAGCTTCAGAATAGACAACTTTGAAAGAGATTGAATCGCAAATTCATACCTGTGGTAGTTATCTTTTTATAACACCAGTCTTGATACTTTTTTGATCAGTCCTCATCTATTCAAAGAAGCTTCGTCAGTTTAATTGTATTTGGGCCTTTCATTTAACTCAATATGGAAAATTTTTGTCTATATAATAATACTTGGATGATGCTGATATTTAACTAGGACCTTTGAAAGGGGTTTGAATAACCAAAAAAAATAAGAGAATTGATGTTTTGATCTTCTGAATCCGCAGTTGTCTTACAAAAACACCTAGGACCCCAATAATAAATCTGTATTTTTTATTTTTTTTTATTTCAGGCACAGTTCTTACATTTGCTACCATTATTCTTGGAGGAGTGCTTATCATCATGGGGGTGTTGTCGATTGCGTTCAGCCTCTCGGTCGCTGTTGGTCTCTTTCTCTTTCACAAAGGCCTTGACTTCTACCGCCGTTTCCACAACCAGTTTCTGGCTGTTGTCGGTCGTGAAGTTGACAATTTGCGTCGACAGGCAGCCGCAGCCAACGTCAATGCCAATGCACGGCCTCAACCGAATCAGACTACTCCTTCCTCTCCTCCATATACTCCTTCATCACCACCGTCCACACGTTCAACCCCCTCCCCAAATACAAACTCTCCTTCCTCAATAGGGCACACTGCAACTTCACCAATCTCCCTACAGTCCCCACCAGCTCCCCCAGTCTCTGCCTCGGCACCTTCTCCACCATCTCCTTCTGAACCTGTTGGAGTTCCTGCTGCTACTAGTACTCACCTCCCTAGCACCCAGGTCATGGCTCAGGTTGCCCCAATTGTACAGTCAACAACTGGTGCGGTTCAGGTAACCTCTGTTGACACCACCCAACAGACAGACTCTCTTGTACCTCCAGTTTGTGATGCCCAGACATCACCTGTGTCCAGTGGTCAAAGTCCAGAGGAAGGTCAGTAGTAAAATTTTCAGCAGTTTGTTTTTTCTTTCCCTCATGGCTTTGTTGAGAAAAATACATTCAAAAGGATTTAAAATTTGTAAATTTTCTCTTTCTCAATTTGCTTATATCTGTTGGCTTGGGAGAGTAGTAATCCTGTTAGGAAAGGTGATATCTCCCAAGCCAACATGCACAATAACTGTATCAAGAAATCAAAAGAAAACGGTCGAATCCATCAACACAAGAATAAAAACAATATTTCTACACATGAAAGTACTTGACATAATTTTCAGTTGACAATATGAATACAATAGCATTTTCTAAATTCTTCTAGTTGCTAAGGTTATTTTGTTTGTTATTAATAATTATTTTGTTTTCAATAAATTCATTTCATTTTGCCTTGAAAAAGTCTATATTGAATGAAACGCATTGGCTAATAATAGTTTTTCTATTGTCTTTTACCTTTAACATATTGTCTACGGGTTAACTCTGAGAAATTTTTCATATATATTTATAAGTATAATCACTACCTTTTTTTAGTAGATGCTCATATTTGAGTAGGTGCTTGGTTTATTTATTAAACAGTATATTTTATTATTTTCATCTACCAGCCTGAATATTTGAGAAATATGCACTCTCTGGCACTATTTGAACCTGTGTTCTCCTTTGCATGAGAAACCATGATTTGACTCCTGCCTGAGGCGCATATAAATATGCTGTTTAATAAATGGGGCATCTATTCAAATATGAGTATCCACTAAAAATAACAATTACAGTTAAATGTCGGATTAATAAATAAGAATTCTTTATTTTAGAAATTGCTTTGTTTATGTTTGGATATGAAACTGAGAAAATTTAACTTTTGAGAATCTGGGAATCTAGCAGTAGAGCCTGGCGTTGCCCGGGGATGTAACAGTAAGAGATAGATCAAGTATCGACCATCATAAAGACTGAAAAATAAAATTGACAAAGATTATTGTTTAAGGTTGACGGACACGCATGTCTTAATTAGTTTTTTTTTTTGTTTTTTTTTTTGTTTTTTACAAATTGGTCAAACCCAAATTCAAACAAAAACATTGTTTTCAATCATTATGATGAGTCTATCGAATGAATAGAATTTTATTATAAACAATTGTCTTGTAAATGGAATTTTTAAAGCATTCTGAATGTAAAAATAAAGAAAAGTGTGCAAGACAAGAAACACTACCTGCCAAAAAAAAAAAGTGAAGTTTTGTTGAAATCAGTTGAAAAATGTAGGAAATCTGATCCGATATATAAATGAACACACACACACACACACACACACACACACAACCTGGGTTTTATAATAAGTATAACTCGATATGAGTTGTCCCCCTTTCATTCTCGTGATGCCTCTTAATCATGTTTTCAAATTGATTTCGTGCAAAAACAATTGTTTTTCCAATTTTTGGCACTGTCAGAACCACTGCAAGGTAATTTCACGTAGTCCTGTGACGTTTTGTTGAAATCGGTTGAAAAATGTAGGAAATCCGATCCAATATATAAACAGACATACACACACACACACACAACCTGGGATTTATAATAAGTATGATTATTCAGCTTTGCTTCATTGGCAAGACCCTTCGTGGCCAAGTTGGTCTAAAGGACATCAGATCTGACAACTATTTCTCCTGCAAAAGGGGACACAGGTTCAAATCTTGCCAGAGAGTGTATCTTTTTCTTTAATAAGATTACTCAAGTATTCAAGGCAGTAGAAGAAAATAAATATACTGTTTAATAAATAATTGCAACATCTACTCAAATATGGCTATCTACTAAAAATAACATTTAAAGTGATATATATATTACCTTATATTTAGTGGGTACATGTTTGGATAGACATGTTTTTTTTTTTTTTTTTTTTTTTTTAAAACAGTGTAAATGTGTTTGAATTCAAAACTTAATAAAGAATATATACCTTCCTGAAAGGTTCAAACGACTGTGCTTTTTAACTTAAGATTTTTATTGTCAAACAAAGTTCAGTTACCCCATTATAAAATGAAAATCTTGTTCAATCTTTTGATGCCCATATACTTTTAGTTTTGTATCCGACACATGAACAAAGAAATTTCGAAGGAATTAAGGGATTTTATTTATAAACTGACGTGTTTATATGAAACTTTATATTTAGTGGTTTCATGAGTTTGAGTAGGCATGCCTGTTTTTCAAACTGTGTAAAATATGTGATACTAAGGACACCCAAATAGAAACAGATGAGGTTTTTATCTTGATCTCAAATATTTAATTGTTAGCAAGTGATCCTTTTTGAAGTTTTGCTTTCTAAGTGGCATCAGTTTTAACGAAAGGGAGATGGGATGTAAAGGGAGTGGATGAAGGGTTTTTGGAGATCAAGTGGCAACAAAACTGAAAATAAGTCACAATTGGGACCCAGGTGTGGAGTTCTGGTCCACCTTTGGTAGTAGATGGGTTTGTTCATCATGTGGTTCCTGTGTCATCCATTCATATTGCCATCCATCTACCACTTCAGGATGAATAGATAGGCAAGGAGTTGGTAGGGCGAAGAGCTGAACTGTTCAATACTCATAGCAGAAGTTGTCCCAGTGTCATTACCTACTCACACAGGCAAGCAAATAGAGCTTTGAATAAAACATCTATTTTATAATATAGGAAACCGGGTTCATTTTCTTATTCAATGATGGTGTAGCGGACTGTGTCGGCGATGTTGATTAGAAGTAGATGAATACACGTGAGTTAATAGTTCCTGCTAGCCGGTCCAACTACATGAGAAAGTTGGACTTTAATTAAGTCCAAAGAAGGCAAAGAAAAACAAACACAAGACCGATAAATATATGTAAACAAATATATGTATTAATAACAAGAAAGGTTACAAGTTACATGGACAGAGTGTGTGGTGAATATTATATGTGTGTGTTGTGTTGTGGTGAGTGTTCATACATATGTGTATTGTTCTTAGCGTGTTCCCAGCATTTGGGAAACGCTGTATCTGTGAGTGTTCACATCTGCGAAGTGGTAAGGCTGAAAGCCTGAGGCAAAAAGATTTACCTCAAGGTGGCGACCCAAAGGCCTGAGGGGGGAAAAAGAGGAAGAGGCGAAAGGTCAGTGAGTATTTATAGCCAGGAGAGAGAGAGAGACCCCTGTTGAAAGGTGAGGAGCTAACTCCGACAATGGTATTTATCTTTCATGTTACCTTGTGAGTTGCAGCGGGCCCTTCCCCACCTGTCTGTACTCAAACACGTGTACCCCCTAAAAATAACATTTATATTAATAAGAAATAATGTTGGATTGAAAGAACGTGTATGTATATGAAATCATGATATTCATAAAATTCTGCCCACATCAAAAATGTAAAATAGAATTAAGTAAAAAGAAATGTTTGATGAAGGAAATTTCTTTTCATCTAGTAGAACATTTAAAAAAACATCATTTTAAAATCACATAATCCTTAAGAATATCTTTGTTTTTCCTTACACTTTACAGTAAGCACAGACACTTCTGTTTTATTGGCTGGTGCCATTCCAGCACGTACTATTTCTGATGGTACCCACCTGAGGCAGCGGGTGTCACCCACATCCAATGTGACCACTCCTGAATCGGACGATCGGACTCTACGTGCTGCTACAGCACCACCAACCCTGACATCTGTGTCTGCAATGTCATCTCAAGATTCGTCATCTGTAGAAGCATGTGCCCACAGCAGCACGTCGAGGGATTCATCAGACGTGTTGAACTGGGAAAGTTCGTCATCTTCAACGTCATCGCTTAATCCTGGTGACCAGTGGGAAGTGCTGCCAACACAAACAGAGAAGTTGCACTATGCCACTGACCATCATACGGAAGACTGAAGATATTTTTTTATCACACTTCCCATGGGACCATCAAAAATATCAAGGTAGGTCAGATTTCTTATTTAATGGCTTTAACAGTTGGAAGGAAAGTTGCAATATGAAAAAAGATGAGTTAAAAATTCATAATGAAAATCCTTCATCTCAGAATTGAAATAATTTAACAAAAGCTACTTTTTTATTCTTACTTTATCTTACTTTAACAGTTGGAACGAATTCAACAAAGAAAGTTGTGATAAAAAGCAAGAATAAAATGAAGAAAAGACTAACCAAAAATGAATAATGAAAATCTTTCATCTCAGAATTGAAATAATTTAACAAAAGTTACTTTATTCTTACCTCATGTTACTTACTTTAACAGTTGAAAGGAATTCAACCAAGAAAGTTGTGATAAAAAGCAACTATATGGAAATCTCTCTTCTCAGAGTTCAGACTTCTTAATTTATCTAAAATCAGTCATGGGTGACTCCTAACAGTTTAAGGGTCAGCAGGTGTGTCTTTTAAATTATTAATAATTTAAAAACATCTATTTGTACAATATATTTAAAGATAGTTGAAATACCTTTGATAAAAACCTACAGGCTTTCATGTAATATCAAAATTGCTTTGAAGCCAACCTGAACATGCTGGGTGTGTTTTGAATGTTTATCAAGGTGCACCTGAACATGAAATTACTGCCCCTCCCATACAACACTGCATAAAATACAAATGAAAATATCCTAACAATGAAAATTACCTTCCACTTGAAAATTTCTAAAAAAAATTCCATGAAAGTGCTTGAGACAATTCTCACTACAGACAGTTTCTATTCACACTTAGCCTCCCCCACCCCCAAGAAAAACTGAAGTAAAAAAAAAAAAAACTTGTAAAATCTTGTGTCCATCACATTCAACAAAAACACACATACACACATATATACATATGTATATCGGGTGTATTTTGACAGCCTGTATTCATCCAAACAAATTTTGTTAAATTCAGCTGACAAGGTTTGTCTGTACATTATTTACATTATTCAGATTATTGTCCTCATCTTTATCACCATAATGTACATAATACTTCATCTCAGAAATATAGACAGACTCTGAAGGTTTGTCTGTTTTATATTTCATTGTATTTTTCCAATTATCAAATTAGATGTATATCAGGATAAAAATTGTGGATAAACTGTCCAAAGTTTTCTGCCTTGTTCAAACAGTTTTAACCATATCAGTCATTATCAAGAACTGGATGTTGTTAGTATAGTAGACAAGATTCTTTTTTTTTTTTTTTTTTTAAGATTGTTGCTATTGGAACTGGAATTACTTCAAAGTAACATCATACATGATGGTTAAATGAAAAGTATGTATCAAATATTTATATGTGCTGTTATTTTTTGTATACATATTAAATATTTTGTAAACAGTAGAGAAAGATATTTTATTTAATGTGAAGTGCTTTGTTTGTATTATAATGGCTTCTAGAATGTTGAGTTTTTGCAGTCGTTCCTGTACAATATTTTGGTGTTATCTACTAAAATTTGTCTTACCATATTTTCTTAGGCATAATATCAGGAATTTTGTACGTGAATTAAAGGCCAAAAAAGAGGGACATGTATTATAGACAAGTACACAATTTTAAAAATTTTTACTCGGCTTAAAAAACTTCTTATTTGAAACAGAAAGTTTGTAAATATACTCAGCACAATGGATAACAAAATACAGAGTAGACAGGTGTTGATAATTGTTCACAAAAGCTATTTGATATGTCGACAATATTTGTTCTTTGGGAATCGGTGTAATTGAAGCTTTTTGTCTCATAGACAGGAAATTCACCAAAATTGATTAGAAAAAAAAATTAATAAAGGGAATGCACAAGATCTGTCATATTCTGATAACATTATTGTTACAACAAAAACCTAACTTTTGTATAAATTATTCACGTTTTTTTAGTTTTTTCCACTTGAAAAATGGGGCAATAATTCCCATGCTGTGAGGCTGTTGTTTCATATTCCTCCATTTGTTGACATAACATATCCAGGCTGAAAACTCCAAACAATTCAAGAAAAATAAAACAATACAAAATAGATACAAGATACCAATATATATTTTTATATATCAAGAACAGAATTGGGGAAATTGTATGACAAAGTGGAAAAAGTTTATATATGATGCGTTTCGTCCTTCAGAACTTCATTGGACTAAATTTGAATTTGATGAAATGCTGAAAGACAAAAGGCGTCACATGTAAACTTTCCACCTTGTCATACAGTTTCCCCAAAATAGATACGTAAACAACCGCAACATAATTACATCACTATATAAATAGTGTACACTGGTACTTGTAATTTTAAATTGCAAAATATTATGATAATTTATGTGGATTTAAAAATATTTAAAATACTAGTTAGCACTTTCCTCTGACAATTCAAAGATAAGTTTTGAAACAGAAATTAAGAAACATGCGATGGTTAAACATCCTGTTCATTTTTATTCTTTATATCATGAAAAAATTAAATATTTTAGTAAAATATGTGTATGAAATTCAAATTTTAATGCATAATATGGTAAAACTTAAAAAAAAAAAAAGTTTACATAGAGATGACTACGATGATGTAGTATTGTAACCAAGAATGTAATTTATTCCCTGTTTTTAGCTTCAGAAACATGAGGTTGTATTATTATACACTAGAAAATAAAGTATGTTGATAGTTGTATTTTAGTTGTTATGTGATGATTAATAAGTGCATGAACTGCACTGTTTGAACAAGTGACAAGTCAGTCTATGAGATGTGCATGAGGCATGTATGGTTCTTGTAAGGATTTAATATTGTTTTTGATTGTTAATATTAGAGATGCAATCTCACAGAGAGTATGAGAAGATAGAAACATTATTTTTAGATATTGGAGATTTGTGGTCCTGAGTTAGTGATAATAATTAGGTTAGAGGATAATTTTTTAATAGGAAATGATGACTTTAAGATATTTGTAATGATCATTAGCTGTTACATACTGGCACATTATATATTCAAAGGCTTTTTCATCTTGTTTATAATTAGGATGCATCTGGTTACACTAAAATAACTTAATGGTGTTTATTTTTACTTATATCAAGATTTTTTTCTAATTCTTTTTCCTTCAACGATATGATTTCAGAAACTATTGTTGATAAATATTTGCTTTATGTTGCTTAATCTATATAATATATTAAAACTCTAATCTTTTATGTATGTACATGTGTTCCCGAGATACAGCTTAAACGATACATAATACTCTGTTGTAACCTAGGGAAGGTTATTGAACAGAATAATTAAATGAAAGATGGTAATGAATGATAATACTTAGGACAAGAACAATGCATATAAGATTCACCAGCAGTACGTAGAAGTAATCAACTGCTAGAAGTGAGTCAACTCCAGGATATTTACGAACCACTCCATGTGGTCAGATGTGGCACAAGGCCGAATTTAATGTAGGATATCTGAGCCCGTAGGCTTGGCCAAAAATTCCCCGTATAAAATGGGGTCAGGTAGCTATTTCCCAAGACGAGAATCTGCCCTTTGACATAACCTCGTCTGGGGATCCTCTCTGCCCAGAGGCAGTTTGACCAGCACAGCTGGAGACAAATCTCCAACTACAGACCAACATACAGTATTTACTACTGTATTTATGGTAATGGGGCCATACCCATTATCATCTGTAGGTATACTACAACATACCCAAATCAAATTAGGAATTTTGAATCCTTTTCAAGTGCAGTGCCAATTTTCATTAAAATTAAATAAGGAGTTCTTGAGCTAGGGTTATTTTTCTGTTTTCATGGCATTTTTAATTGGAAATTCAGTATTTGTTTTCAATACACATTTTTATATCAATCTGCATATATAAACAAACACTTGCATATTGCAACTAATGTGTTTGAAGAATAATAAACATTCATAATACATTATAATAACATTATTAAATACATTTAAATATGCATAATACAACATACAGTTCACTGCACCTCATTTGAATTTTTTTAATATCTCCAATATATGGCAAATACTTGAGAGGTAAAGATGTTGAGTGGGTGTGTCATTGTAAAACATAATCTGTATTGCTGAAAAAACTGTTGCATGATGGTAAGTAAATAAATAGATGCATGCTCATTTGTTGCTGTTATGTATTTTGAGATAAATGTAATGGAGAAACAAGTATAAAACTATAATTACTATTAATTTCTTATTACATTTAATCTAAGTAATATTGTATAATATGAGTAATAATAATTATTACGATTTTTTTTTTTTTTTTTTATTGCAAATACACAATAAAAAAAAATGTATAAATAATAATAAAATCAATAATATTGTTACCTCATCATTCTGTATCATGAAGTGTTTTTAAAACAAACCCAATGGGTTTATGGGGGTAGGGGTTCTAGTTCTTTATGAAATAATGTCTGAAGAAGAAATAATTTCCATACAGTTATTCATGTTTTTTTTATAAATCCTATTTCACATTTTGTAATTAAGACATGAATTTTGCTTATGAATTTTTTATATAATGAACTAATAAAATTATGACTATTAGCATCAACTCAAATGTCAAGTAAAGGGATTCTATTATTAATGTTGAGTTCATAAGAAAATCTATAACATTATTTTCAAAGGTTTCTTTTTAAGATTTTTTATTTCATCTAGATTTTTTGTTCATACAAAAAGTTTCTCAATATATCAAGGGCTTAGTAAAATTATTAAAAACTTTTTTTTATATAGGTCATGTTGAAATTAGATAAAGAGGGACCAAGAGGTGAGCCCATAACTGTGCCATCAGTCTTTGTGTAAATGTTGCCATAATGATTCTAAAAATGTGTCATGCAAGATAGCTTATGTAGAATTGTTGGCCTAATATTAGGAGATGGAGATGTGCAATGACTAAATAGGTTTTGTATTACTATGTTTCTTTGTCAGGAACATTGGTAAACAGGCATTCAATATCTAACAAAGCAAGGATCCCTTGTTGTTAGGTTTATTAGAATGCAAAAGGAAAGTTGGATCTCTCTCATGCCAGAGGTTTTTTTTCATCCTTCACAACTACAAGTCTACCATTCGTCCATACATGGAATACTGTTGCCATATATGTTCTGGTGCTCTCGCTGTTCATTTTGAGGTTCTCAACAAGATTCAAAGATGGATATGCAATGTGATTGGTCCTGACTTGGGATCTCAACTTCAGCCACTGGCATAATGTGGCTTCCCTCTGGCTTTCCTATAAATATTTCCATGGCAACTGCTCTGACAAGCTATTTTCACTGATGCCCCAACTGCATGAATGTAAGCATGCTTCTAGGTTGGCATCTGGGCCCCACCCTTTCACAGTTAAATGTAACTGCCTCTTCTATACCAACAGCTTCTCCTCTTGCACTTTCTGACAGTGGAACTCCTTTCCTCTTACTTACTGATAACTATAATCTTCAAAAATTTAAATGTAATGTAAATCAACATCTGATGCTTTGATACCTGTTCTTCATTTTATCCTTCTCCATTCCTTTTTTTATCCTTTCTTCAACCCAAAGTCTTTTCTCTTACTTTTATTCTCTGTGGTCCCTTGCATACTAGTGGCACTATTGCCTTGTTTGGGGTGAAATGCTTAAAAAAAAAAAATTACTTGGTAATAGTATGTCTGGATCAGTTGGCTTACAGTTTTGGATAAGTGATCAGAATTGGAAATTATGGGATGTAGTAGCAAGTTAGTTGTATGAATTTTAATTATTCCTTAAAAACATCCCAGATAATATTCATGCACAATTTTATTGAGTTTCATGGAACTGACTTCTGTATTGTTGACTGTAATGGATCTGTTTTTCTGTGTCCATAACAAACAGATATATATTTTTCTTTGTAAAGCTGTCCTGGGTATGACTATAAACTACATCCACATCCTGGGTAAGACAATAAACTACATCCAACAGCAAGGCCTCTGATCAGGAGGTTTTGAGAAACGTGGAACCACCTTAATTGCTGGTGTTCCCAGGGTAGTAGCACCTGTTAGGGTCCCAGATATGGTACACCCCACAAAATTGGGTCAAAATACTATGAAAGTGTAAAAATAGGTTTTAATACCAGAAATACTTGTAAAAAAAATTATTACCAACAATAATTTTTTGAAGGAAAAAATTATTACCAGCAATAGTTTAAAAAAAAATGTTATCAACTATACATTTTTGAAAAAAAAAAAATATTACCAGCTATACATTTTTTTTTTTTTTTTTTTTTTTGAAAAAAATATTACTAGAAATAGATTTTTGAAGGAAAAAAATATTACCAGCAATACTTTTTTTGCAAAAAAAAATATTACCAGCAATGAAAATTGTCGGCATTAAATAACCCATTGGGTTTGATATGCTGTAAACCAAACCAATCTTTGTCAAGTTTGTCTTGGCCTGTATGTTCAAAAAGTAATACCAATCTAACTTGCTTTCACAAAAATTTGTCAGCTGATCTACAGTAAGAATGAATTTTCTTTTGATAACATATCTTTGGTTAATGTATATTATACTTGTTCTATTTTATCATGTATTTAATTTCTTATTCTCCCTAATTTATAAATCCAACTTTGTCAACAGTATGCATGCATAAGAATTATTACATATCAATGGAGATTGGTACTAGCCATGGTTTCAGACATAAGGCAGAACTATTATATATGAAATGAATACTTAATCTTAGACTTTAAAAGCTTAGGACTCTCTCTCTGGATTTTTCCAGCCTTCAGATAGACATTAGATCTAGTGAATAACTTTTAGATAATAACCTTATTCGATACATTTTGTAAATTAATATTTTCAGTTTTTATTGTTTTGAAATTTTTTTTTCAGTTGAATGTGATTTGCTTTTCTTTTGTAGGTTGTCATGAAAATATTGCTGCCTCCTGACATTTTGGGACAACTCCATTTTTGCTGGTCCAAGGGACCCAGATGTTCTGGGCTGACTTGTTCTGTGCTTATCATAAAGGGACACAGGTTTGAAGCCCCTCTCAAAAAACGGTGAAATGCGCATTTTTGATCCATGCTTATTGGACTTGGAAATTTTCAGAAAATATTCACACACTCCCATCCTAACTTGTCTGGAAGACTTTCCAGTTCAAACCTTCTTCACATCCATTTTTTTCTCTCTCTCCTTTTTTTTTTTTTTTTTTTTTTTTTTTTTTTTTATCCTCATCAGGCAGCAGTAGCTTTGGAGCGTGGTATTGCTTTTGTTGTTGTTAGAATGAAAAGTACTCTTGCTCTATGTATGTATGTATGTGTAGCAGCTTCTAAAAATAGCCGTCGCCCATCACCACTAAGTGTTAAGGCATTTTACTTTCTTTTATTTTTCCCTTCCATATGGTGATAGGTTCTGAACTGAGATCATTACTTTGTGAAGTAATATATTGCCCAAAGGACTGATCTCTTATTGAAATAATGTAAGAAGGCATTGCAGGATGGTTGGAGACTGGCTGTGAATTGTCCGGAGATCTAGGGAAAATAATGTTATTTTTTTTTTTTTTTTTTTTTTTAAGGTGAGGACCAGGATACTGATGTTTCAGATATTTTCCCTTCCCTATTTTTTCAACATTAAACTATCTGAGATTGAGATTATTATTGGTCAATATTTGATGTGTCATATTGCAGATTTTTGGGTTAAGTCTAATATTTTTGATGTTGTAGAATAATTTATATTAAGTTTTAAAAAATAAAGAATATCTTATTGGCCAACTTTCAAATCTTTTTAACACAATTGTCATCACAGTTTTTACTCTCAAATTTTAGAACTAAATTCAGTGGGCATTGGTTTGAGAATGAGTCTTCAAGGGTTCAAATTTCTCTCAGACACTTGTGTATGAATGTGCGTGCATGTGTTTGTGTTTTTGTAAGGGTATAAATGAATATGAAATGTTAAAATACATTGTTTAGCCAATATATATATATATATATATATATATATATATATTGGCGTTTAACATTATTCCATCACTGATTCTTTTCTTCAATATTCAGCAGCACTTAAAAAAAAATCATCAAGAAAAGTTTAAGGACATTCAAAGAAAAAGAATCTTTAACATTTTCAATTCATTTATTTAATTATTAGTTTTATTAATGAGTTCATGAAATCTTCAATACACATTACTCATATAAAATTATTGCAGTGACATGTGCTGAGAAGTCAGATCCTACAATGTCTACTCCTCTTACAAAGAACATAAGAAAGTCAATAAATCCTAAACTTAGGATGTTTTGATTACCTGAAATATTCTGTCATTTTCTTTTGTAAATTTCATTCAAGTATTTATTCTTTATTATAAAAGAGTTTAATGACTACAGTTTGCTATTGGTGTAGTGTTCTCGAGGTAATGGTGTGTGTGTAAGAGAGAGAGAGCAAGCAAAAAATAAGAAGGAAATCACTCAAGACTCTGTATATAGTTTTCAACAAAATACATTTTAGAATTGAATATCATTAATCTCTCTCTCTCTCTCTCTCTCTCTCTCTCTGGAAATTGTGTTTACAATACCATTGATGCTGAACATTTGTCTGAGATTCTTAATAATATGGAGAAGTTATAGATTTTGAAGTCAAAGATTCTGTGGCATTTTATCATGGAATCTTGTTAGAGAATGAAAGCTAAAACAAATTGTGGTTCCATTTTGTGATATAAATGAATATTATTATTATTTTTTTTTTTTTATTTTTTTTTAAAACCTCCTGAAGTGTCATTGTTATCCTAAAAGGGCTCTTTTTTCTTTGTGAATCTTCAAGTAATTCGATAGATCAGCCAAAGGTTTAATTTCCATATCCTTCTTAAAGAAATTCATGCGTTAGACCAAACAGGCTTTCCAATCCCTGGTCCAATTATCTGTTATATGTCATAGGGTTGGGGCGTGTCAGATTATCAAATCAACAAAGCACTTCTGATACACTTACCTACAACAACTTTTAATGCATTCAAATAAGTGGAAATTCAAACCTTGTAATCAGATTATAGTTACATTACATAAAAAGTCAGACTGAAAGACATGTACAGACATAAATTATAAAATTGGAAGTTATATTTGCACACAAAAATTAGAAACTAGGCTATTTATAAATCGCAACGATATGGGATAAATATGCAAAAGAAATGGACTAAGGAAAGGTAAATACTGTATAATAAAGGGATAATAATGATAAAAAATATGTAATAAAAATATATTATTCATAGATGAGTTAAATAAAATTACATAATAAGTGGGTATCGCATTTAAGATATTTGATAATAAAATAATGAAAATAAATATTATATAATAAAAATACATGAATAATGTATCATGTGGGTTAATATATATAGATGTGTCAGTAGCAATCATGATTAGGAATTTGTATCGGCCATTTTTAATCTCAGTTTTAATTTCAAGCAAACAAACTCAGTTGAGAAACTAAAAAAAAAAAAATGATAGTTCAATGCAATCCTCGCAAACATTTTAAGAGCAACAAAATTTCTAGATTCAACATTTGTAACTTCAGGTATTTGTGAAACAAATACCTAATGATGCAATATTTAATTCTTGGAATGTCAGCTTGGTATTTTCTTAAATTCAAAGGTTAATTTATTTTTGAAATTTACTAACCGCATTTTACCATTGTCCTGGAATTGATCATGTTTGTTTAGTGAGTTTAGTTTCTTTCTTTTTAACACCTAGGAGTAAATAGGTTTTCCTATCATCTGGTTTACACTCCTCCCCAGTCTCAGGAGAAGAGGTTTATCCCTTGTTTCCTGTTTGGGATTGGGTTTCTACTTCCTTTTAAAGTCTTCTCGTTCTATTAACTCCCAGTGGCTGCTTGCATCTTAGTGGCATTATCGCCTTACTTGCAGTGAATTTATTAAAAAAATAAAAAAACTTGTTTATTCAAGACAAAGCCCAAAAACCATGCAAGGTAAAAGGTTACTGAATGAGGTTGTTGTATGAATATAAAAGGAGGTGGTAAGAAGTGCAGATTATGAAGTGATATAGAATAGATAACAGTTAACTTGGAGAGGTTAAGAAGATTGTATTGATCTGAGAAGCACCCTCTTGGGAGTTTGTTCCAGAGAGCAGTGTACAGAAAGGTTTTAATATGTCCTCCAGAAGAAAGAAATCTAATGAATCTCTTAGAAGCAATAAATTAAAGAACTTCATCACATTGTGAAGATCTTGAATTCTATGTTTAAATTTTTTGTTCAGACATGAAGATAGTTTAGTGAATGAGACTTTGTTAAATAATCGTGCAATATTTCCATTGACACAAGTCAGGGAAGTGAGATAACCCCAACAGTGGTGGTTCACTTTTTTGGCCTATTTATCAGGAAAACCCTTCTGCATTTAAAATGTCTCTATTGAAAGACAATGGTTCTTGTTATAAAATATGCTCTATTATGAATAAACTTCTCTAAATTCTATTCTCTGAATAAACGTCATTTCTATTTATAGACCAAAGAAGTATTTACACTATTTACATTGTTTGGACTTTTGGTCCTCATCTTTATTGCCATATTCACGATGTTTCGGCCGTTGTATGCTCCGGCCTTCTTCAGGTGATATTTGGAATATCAAACTATAGAGTGTTCTAATTCCATGTACCATGCTTTTTGATATCTCCATTTTAGTTAATTCATTCCCCTTGATAACTCGACTCTCCAAGTTTCTGTTCTCTCTGCTGTGGCCAGAGATTGAACTTGCAACTCTTTTGGATTAAGTCACTTCTGAAACAATCAACCAATGCTTTTATCCATTGGGCCATGAAGATATTAAAAATCTCAGTTATACAAGCCTTTTAAGGACACCTTGCATAAAGCTGCAAATAATTTATTATAATAACTGATTACAGAAATAATGATGTCTACTTCCTGGGTTGGTGGGAGGGATCCTCTTCACATGTATTGATTATTCTAGAACTTGAGAGGTATTCAGAAAGATTAATCATGAAACTTTCACCTGCCACTTGCTAAATATTAAGGTAAAATTCTTTGTTGGGTGTTTAAACACCCTCATGGTACTAACAGATGGTTAATAATAGGTATTTAAAATGTCCCTGAACTCTGGCTCTATGAACCATCCAATTATTTTTGTTTTAAGTTGACTTGTCAAAAAAAAGAATGTCAGAATTGTATATGAAAAGCATGAAGGTATTTCTAAAAAAAATACCTTGTATTAATTTATTTAAATATAACGTTATGGCCTTTTGTTAATGTGAGATTTAGAAGAGTTTATTAAGGAATCTGTTTTTCGGAAGAAAATAGAAAATATGATTTGATTTTTTTTTTTTTTTTTTACATCACTGGATGCAGTGACCCCCCCCCATATATATATATATATATATATATATATATATATAGTGTGTGTGTTAAATTGTGATGAAGACAATAATGTGCAAAGGATATTGTATCACCAAAAAAAAAAAAAAAAACCATTGAAATTTGGTGTATTTATGCTGGAGAGAGAATCTGGATTATTTCTAGTCAATTCCTTTTAAAAAAAAAAACTGGAATAAAAAAAAAACAAAGATTTGAAATTATTTAATTTTAAAACTTTATGTGCATATTTATAAACTTCACCTTTGTCAGTCAATCTCAAGCACCCCCTACATTTTTTTTGTCGGCTTTTTCTTATCTAAAACCATGTGCAGGGGGAATTGATGTGATATTAAAATAAATTTTCTTTTCTTTATAATTTTTTCCCCAGTGCTTTATTCTTTTGACCTTGAAATCTCTTCTCTTAGTCATGCCTTCCTATCAGGTCCAAAAAAAAAAAAAAACAAATCTTTTTTTTCTTTTCTTTTTCTGCTTTGGGTCATTAAGTTTGTGTGGGAAATCAAACAAAAACACTGAAAATTTCCAAAGCTAGAAACAAAAAAAAAAACAAAACATCAAAGCAAATATTAGGTTCATATTTTGGTTTCCATGTAAAAGTGAAGACAAAATAAAGTTTAGAAAATGAAAAGACTTTTTTCTTATTTTATAAACAAAGCTGTTAAAATTTCTCTTTCTCTTTTCTTTC